TATATATATTATCTTTATATATATGCCCATGTTTTCTCCAAGTGCACTGTATGTATCTTTAAGATACTTTCCCAAAAATAATGAAGCAAGGACAGCAGCTCTACAAGTTTCTTAACTCGTTCCGGGAGAAAAACCCTATAAATGCAATAAATGCGTATACCAATTACAATTGTGCGTAACTCTATGAGTGTGTGCGTGTGTGTGCATATTGTGATCTTTAGCATACCGAATGGGGTTGCTTGGCAACAACTGCAACTGGAAACTGGAAATGGGAAAAGCGGAAAGCAAAAAGAAACTTGTGCATTTTTAATCAAGCAACAACAACAACAACGGCAGCAGCAACTACAGCAATAATAATTACTACAACAACAATAACAAACAATAAACCACCCTACCCGCCCCTCAGGCAATGCCTATGCAAAGGATGCGAAGCATGCAAAGCAAAACAGCCAAAAAGTGAACTGAATTTCAAACCCTTCCAAGAGGCACGTGTGTGCGTGTATGTATGTGTGTGTGCGTGTGTGTTAAAGTGCATAAGGCAATATGCAGAGATTATAACAGTTGTACATAAAAGATACATACAGACATAAATTATATGAAAACTTTGCTAAGACACTTGTTTGATATAAGCGGGAAAGAGAGAGAGAGAGAGAGAGAGAGAGAGAAAGAGACAGATCGAAGCAGATTTGCAAGAACTTTACAAAAAGAGAAGCAACAAACAAAAATAATAAACAAATATTTCAAATATTTAAAATATACATGACTGAAAACACAAAATTTAAATTTAAATGCATTTAAGCTGATATTAAAAACTAGAAAAAAAAAAATAAAAAAAAAAAAAAATAAAAATAATTATATTTAAAGAAATTTGACAAAATTTCAACATAAAAAATATACTAAAAATTCTTTAGAATATTGTGTTCTATTTTTAAACTAATTTTCATTAAGCAATCTGTTTAAGTTATCAAACTGATATATATTTTACAGAAATTATTATTATATGTATTACTATAATTATACTATACATCACGTCTTTAAATGGCTCAAATTAAACAAAAAATGTAGAATTGAGGATAGTTTGGTTAATATAGCATATAACTGAATCAGCTCAGAGTTAGTTCAATGTCAAAACCAAGAAATTTGGGAGAACTATTAATATTATATTGGATATCATAATATAGTAAAAGTGTAACATGAACCATAGAAATAGAGAGTTATTCTAGTATATTATTATTCTTTAAATGTAGTAATCAAAGCTCACAGACTATGAACCAGTGAACTGGTATTCGAGCCGATTGAACTATTGCATCTGTTTAGTATTCCCATTCTTAACAGATTTGGCACTTAGAGCGATAAGCGTTGACAATTTCCTGATGGAAGTCGATGAAATATTTCACAACTAAACAAAAAAAAAAAACAATCTCAATTAAAAGCTACATTAAAGACGAAACCCAGAGCCACGAAATGCGTTGCAATCTGCGGGTTTCAGATTAAGGAATTAATGGAAACAGCATTCGGGTACAGATAAGAATTATATTTATTTGACATTTTTCAAAAATCTAAAGTAAAGCTAATCAGAATTTTGAGAAAAAGGGCAATGTGAAATATATAATATATGTTCCTGTCGTTAGAAAGAGCTGTGAATTATGAAGGTGTAGAAATATGTTGAATTTCATATAAGATTATAATGAAAATATAGAAATATGAGCATAGAATAGTTTGATATCTAGTTAAGTTCAGTTCGCTATGTTACTATCAATCTATATTTAAAGTTTAAATTTTATTGCAATAGCAATAAAAGATCTTGAGATTTCAGGAATCAAACTCTTTGGAAAAGAATTAGAATGAAATATTCTTTGTAGACTTAAAAAAAATATTTTTTTTAAATGTCTATAAAAAAAAAAAAAATACGATTCTATATCCAACACTCTTTATCTATCGATCTACCTACACTCTTTAACATATATTTATCCAACTCTCCACTTTTGTTGCAGGTCTCCAATGTCACTGTGAAAATGTCTCCACACAGCAAACACGTTCACAAAATCGAAAAAAGGCGAATGCAACATTGCCACATGCAACAAAATGCGATTTTTGAACATTTAACTAACTAAAACAAAGTTGCGAAAATCAAACTCAAAAATAAACAACAACAAAATATTTCAAAAATGAACTGAAAAGGAAAATTTAAAACCTAAACAAACTTTAAGCAAATGCAAAATTGGCAAATTATAAATTTGGGCTAAAAAGAAGAAAAAAATTAAAAACAAAAAAAAACTTTTTTGAAAACAAAATCTAAATATATTTGGCTAAAAATTAAATAAAAAGCAAGCAAAAGGAAACACAACAACAACAACAAAATCAATTAAATGTAACTTTAAACTAAACCAAGAAACAACAACAAAAGCAAAAATCAGCTAAATTTCGAAATCAAGCAAAAACCGCTAACAAATTTAAAGCCAACAACTAAATTGGAAAACCTCTTCAAAATTATTGGTTCGGACAAAACGCAATACTAAACACAGCAACAACAACAGCAACAGCAACAACTACAACAACAACAACAAGCAGCCGTAAATAAAAAATTAATAAAATAATAAAAATAAAAAAAAACGCGTGTGTTAGTTTGCATAAAAATTTCGTTTCGATAAAAACAAAAAAAAATTTAGAGAACAAAAAAAACAGAAGAAAAAAATAAAAATCTATGCTTAAAACATATTTATGTATAAATATATATGTATATATATATTGAAAAAATATAAATATTTGGTAAA